AGAGAGAAAAGGGAGCTGTCATTTACGTCAGAGAAATGGAGAACAATGCTGGAGGCAGGAGACAGACCAAGGTCAACTTGCTGTGTTTACTGCAGTGGAACAAGACGCCAGCCTGCCTGTTTGTTTGTTTGAAGGGAGGATGCCTGTCTTACCAAGTTGCAGAAGCAGTAATATAACAAGCAGGAGCAGTTTTAGAGGTGTTTGTAGTAATAATAATAAAATGAGTACTTTAGTAGTAGAGGTTACAGTGCAACAGGAAGTAGCATACCTAGAAGTAGTTTTAAAGGTTTGGTCTCACCGCTGCCCCTGTTTTGATGCTCCAGCCCATATCCATTTACTGTGGTTCTTTTCTAGACACAGTCAAACACTAAAAGCTTTTGGCATAAAAATTCTCAGACATAACACTGAGTATTCATTAAAGATTGGAGCTTTATTCTGGAAATATTACAGTTGACTTTAAAGAGCCCAGAGCAGTTTGTCTCTGCTTACAGCACTTTTAAACTTCATAAGGGGCTGTAAATTTGGACTGCAAAAGTTTTGTGTTTATTAATGTTTTACTTTCAGGCATTTTTATATTACACTCTTGTTCTTTCCTGCAGCAGAAACCTAATAGCCCCTAGAGGAGTCCTTAGTGCTCACTTCAGTCCAGTGTCAGTATTTACCCAGCAATGAGATGAAATAAAACCACACAAGTAGTGGTGGAAGAAGTACTTAGTTCCCTTACTTAAGTAAAAATAGCTATACCACAATGTAAACTCTACTCTGTTACAAGTACCATCAAAACATTGTTAAAGTACTAAAAGTAAAAGTTCTTGTTCTGCGGGTGAGCACATTGAACATGAATCTATATCATATTAATGAATTAGAATTACTGATCCATTATGTTATACACCACATTTAATGTTGCAGCTGGTAATACTTTGCATACTTCTGGGTAGGTAGTGAATTTTCCACTGGAGTTCAGTAAAGTCTTATGATTGTACTGTAATTTTTGTATTAATCAGATTCTGAAAAGTAACTAAAGATATAAAATAAATGTTGTAATGTAAAAAGTAGAATATTTGCCTCTAAAATGTAGCAAAGTCAAAGTATGAAGTAGCACAAAATAAAAATACTCTAGTAAGATACAGAAACCTCAAAATTGTACCGTACAGTAGTTGAGTAAATGTACTTAGTTACTTTCCACTACTGCACATGGAAGGACGTTTTGCAAATACACTACTTTAGAATCTGAATCTGAATCATCTTTGGTGAAGTATGTTTGAACATAGAAGGAGTTTGACTGGTGCAGAAGTGTTTATAAGGCAACAGGAAATAGAAAATAACAATGAAATAAAAAGAAAAAATAAACAATGTGTGCATTCAAATAGGACATTTATGCACTCAAAAACAGGTAAAATAGAGAGGAAAAGAGAGAACTTATTTATAAATATACACATTTTGATGCCAGGTGTGAACCATAATCTGTCTCAGATACATCTAGACACAAAACAGAATTAAGATTGGATCGATTAGTATACAAAAGAGTAGCTTTAAATGAGTTAGCAAGTCAGAAAATCCCTGAAGTTTTTGAACAGGAAAGGTGTTTACTACATGAAAAGAAGTCTGGATGTTTAGCTGGATTATTCTACAAACTTGAAATTCTTTTTTAAACAAATAATTACCCACTGTATTAGAACATACAGTTCAGTAGCTGACAGGTGTTGCAGTATTACATTTTTCCCAGCAGTGGGCGCTATCTCCTTATCAGAAGCCTGTTGCATTCCAATAAGGAACCAATACCACTGACCAGCAGCAGTTCTAGTGAACTGCCCAGCATGGAAAGTGAAATGCTATGAATGTTTTATAAAATTTAAAAAAAAAACATAAATAATCACGTTAGGTCAATAGAAACACATACAGGAAATGTATGTAAGTATTTTTCATGCTTTCTTCACTGCTGTTAGTGACACCATCTGTTGTGCCATCACCTTCATATGAATTCTTTGTTGTCCCATGGTGGTATAATTTCTGTTTTATATTATTTTCAGAATGGTGGGAATAAAATCTGAGGTAAACAGAGAAAGGTGAGGATTTATTTATCCAGTGAGGGTGTAAAAACTAGGGACATGGCAGATCCTTAAAAAAAAACGGACAAATTGAAGTTCAGCTTTTAACAGCTTAAGGATACAACTCAGTACCAGCAGAGACTGGCCTTAGCAGCATCCATGTAGACTGTCAGTGTCCTTGGGCCACATGCTTCAGATTTTGACACATAGAAGGGAAAAAAGTGTTAGAGGAGAGAGAAAAATTGCTGCCCTTTAGCATCAACCAATCAAAATCATTTAAAAAAAATGTTCATATTCATGATGAGGGGAGAACTCATCTGCAGCCTCGCCTGGGGTGGGGGGATATCTACGTAAGTGCAAGTCTCCCAGTTCCCCTCTTTCCTGGCAGGCAGATCTATTTATAGCTTCTGACGTCACTGGTCTCCTCTGATGGAGCCTCGTCACAGCCGACTACTCTGAGCCAGGAAGAGGTGGGGTGCAAAATAGGGTTGGGTGAGGTGTGGTGGTGGTGTCAACATTGAGGTAAGCCCTATTGCAGCCCCTCCCCACTCAGCTGTGGCAAGCCAATCAGGCACGAGATGCTGCACACAGTCTTCCTGCTCACCATCACCTCCTCTTCCTCATCTCGCCTTCTGTCTCTGCTCCTATGAACTGGGTCTGGTTCATTCAGCTTAAATTACCTAATAGCCATCTCTCATTTGCCAGGCACTGCTATTGCTGGAGCGCTGGAGGTGGGCTGAGCTAAAAATAGACACAGAAACAACCTTCCCTTTGTGTGTTGGTGCTCTGTTTTCTATTGTTATAACCAGAGAAATGGGGGTGGCTGCTGTGGATGAGAATAGACCTAACTGATAAAAACAACACAGACATACAAAATCATTAAAACTGCCACTTAAGTATCCACATACTGGTGCTTTAAACGCTCATAAAATGTATGACCTAATTGTATGGAAGAATTATTTGTTTGTTTGGCAAAACATTTAGGTCAGAGAAGAAGTGAATGGCTGGAATCTCTGGTTTGTGTCTTTTAAGACATATGCAGGAGTCATATCGCAGTAATGAACAATGTACTCTGCTCCCTGACCAGTTGAGTCAGAGCATCCTAGAGGAAGGCACAGAGAGAAACACAGAGAGGCTGCAAATAATTTCTAACTTCCCCTGTTGATAAGCTTAAGCACAGTGCAGGATCACCCCATCTGTGTGCTCACAGCCAAACTCTCCTCTGTCCGTCTCTCTTCATCCTTCTGCGTCTTAGCATTTGCTCTTTTATGGTTTCAAAGTGCATTGCAAAAAAAAAATCTAGTTTTGTTAAAAGGAAATTTTAGGTAAAAGGGAATTTATTGAGTGTATATTTGGAATACTGCACCCTGCAATTCAGAGCATACAGTGTGGCTCCATCCTGGCTGGAAGGATTTCAAAAAGATTAAATCAGGGCCAAGTCTAACTGCAATACGGTTAGACTAAATCCATCTGGCAACGAGGCAGATTATTGAAAATGCAATAGCTTTCAAATGAAATCCAGTTTTGACATTGAAGCTGCTGTATATTTTGTACATACAGGGATGTTCTTTGTTTAGTAATGAGGGTGCCTTTCACTGTTTTGTCTGTGTT